TTTAGGACCTAACTGAGGTTACTTTTCTGTTCCAAGTCAAATATGTGTTCTCCATATATGTGGGCAAGTCATTTGTGGACAAGTCATTTGTTTAACTCCCAGGAAAGCTTATGAGTTTGTATACAATCATCCATGTGTGAACACATTGCACGCTTTGGGAACTGCTGTATAAATCCAAGCTATAAAATGTCTGGTCCTAAACACTTTCTATCGAGGTTTAATAATCAGTTCCAAAATCTGATGGATGGCATCTACTCTCCTTTCAACACTTAACTAGCTTCTGTAAAATTCTTTATATGATTTCACTTGGTTCTCTCTAGCTTCTTTCTTTGAAGTTTTCAAATAATAATAAAAAAATGGTTGTGATGTTTAAGAGTAAGTTCTATTACCCTCAACTAAAATGCACAGTTCTCATAAGACACTGGTTTTCAATTTTTTCTTAGCTTCCTAATCAGCTGAGGTTAAGGTTCCAATCAGTCTTTGACTGGAAAATAGAAATAATCAGCAGAGAACTTCCAGTTGATCCCAACACAGCCACCAACTTGCATCTCTCTCTGCCCTATGCGCCATCTTTCTTCCTGTTACTACAGAAGAATGCTTCCTCTCATCTAAGGCTAAGGCCATTTGAGCCCTATATCCCATCTCCTCTAGTCTACTCAAGCACTTTGCCCCAGCAATTTCTCTCTCTATGTCATGCCTGATCAATGTGTTTTTTCCCCCTAGGGTATCAACCCTAACTATAAGCTTATAACCATATTATAATATCTACCATTTTGAAATATAATAAGCCCCCTTGAGCCCCTACATCCTCCCTCCTGGCTGCCACCCAATTTCCATCCTTTAGAGCAAAACTCTTTAATAAGAGCTATCTATCATCTCTGGCTTTAGCTCTTCTCCAATTATTTCTTAAACCCACTCCAAACAAGCCTGCATTCCTACCACTCCACAATAGCAACTTGTGCCAAGATCACCAATAACCCACACATGACCAAATAATCATGCTCAATCCCGAATTTTCATTTTGCTTCGCCTAACCACACCTCCGACCCAGTTGATTATGCCTTATTCCTGAAACATTTTGTTCATTTCCAGGACATTGCTTTCTCTGGGTTCTCTGTCTAATCACTGGCCTTCCTTCCTAGGTTTTTCCTGGTTCCTCTATATCTTCCTCATCTTTGTACTAAAGTGACCAGAGCTTATTACTCAGGCATCTTCTCTTACTGCATTCCATTCTTAAGCAGTCTCATCCCTTCTTATGACTCTAAATGCCATCCACATGTAAACAATTCTCAAATTTATATATCTCCAGCCTGGACCTCTCACCAGACCCCAGATTCACAGATCCAACCGCCTACTCAACATTTCTACTTGCATATCTCATAGATGTCTCCAACTCAGTGTGTCCAAAACCAAAATCCCCTCCTTCCACTCCCAAAGCTGCACCTTCCACAGTCTTCCCCATGTTAACTGGGCATCTTTCCAGTTGTTCAGGTTAAAAACTTTTCAATCATCTCTGACTCTGCTCTTTATCTCATGCCCTGAATCCAATCCATCAATAAATCCTGTAAACCCTACTTTCAAAATACGTCTAGAACCTAATCACTTGAAACTCTTCCTACCGCTCTCTTTCCTCTGGATTAAACTAGTTTCCACCCTTCTCCCCACCCTCCCTATTTTATTTTTCCCATAGGAGCTACTATCAGATCATGACAGGCCATTGCTCTAAACCTACCTGAGAAGCTTCCCATCCCTCTCAGAATAAAAGTCAAAGGCTTTGCAATGACCATAGGACTCTACGTGACTTGACGCCACTGTCTCTCTGACAGTGACATCTTCTATCACTGTCCCTTTCTCACTTTTGCTCTGATCACACTAGTTTACATACACCAAGCATAATCCTGTCTCACACCCTTGGTATATGCTTTTCTTCTACCTGAAAACCTATTTGAAAAAGGAGACATTTTTTTCTGGTTTCTGCTCAAAAGACATCAGAGAGGCCTTTACTGACCATCCTACATAAGATAATACTGCCTTCTGACACTTGTCCCCCCTCATTCCTTATATCTCCCTCACCCTTCTTTGCGTTCATCACGCTTATTACCATCTAATATACATTAATTGGTTGTTGTATTATTGGTATATTGGCATGGGTTTATTGGTATATTATTTTCACTTCCCCTGTCAGAAGGCACTCTATGGGTCAGGTTCTTTGGTTGGTTCACTGCCATGTTCTAGCTTGGCACAGAGTCAATTCTCCATGAGTACTTTCAGGAAAAAATTAAGCAAAGCCTGCAAGAAGATCTCCTGACTACAAACAGAATGTCCAATATGAAAACTGATGAATAATAGTCAAAACTGACCTTTTATCATGCATTTTTTTATGTCCGAGATTGAAATTAGGGGCATGAGAGTGATCATGGGGCTACACGATAATGCAGGCACACCTCTATTATGCAAAACCTATAATATGCAATTATATAAGCTGGATGCTTGACACATGCTCTGGAGCTCAGCTCAGAATAAATTACTATGAGGAATGAGGAGGGGATAGCCTCTCTCCTTCCCTTTAGAGACAGAACTTAAATCATTATGAGGAAAGGAAGAGGTAGAAAAGAAACAGAATTTGAAACACCACCAGCTTTTATGCCCACTATATAATAAATCTGGAAATCTACTTTATATCTTATAATTTTAAATACAACACACAGGATTGTGATAAACAACCTTTAACTTAGATATTTTAGGTTCATCTACATTGATATGATTCTTAACAAATTGTACTGAGAAATACATCAGTAAAAGCATACAAAGAAAAATGTAGCAAAACTTGCCCTCTACCAAAGGACATTTGTTTCCATACTTGTAGCAAGGAGATGATCTCTCGACACACACAAACCCAAAGTAGCCTCGTTTGCCTCCAAGTCTGGAACCTTTTCGATGCTTATATTCACAGCAGGAACTTAACCTGTCCACCTGTATCCCGTTCAGGAAAAAGGTGAGACTGAAGGGGAAACCATGGTGCCTTTTGGAAATAAACTGAAAGGTCTCTGGAATTTAAAAAGGCAATACATTAGTGAAAGCAACTGACTTTGAACATGTTTTAAATCACATTTTTCTGTTATATAAGTACAATATTACTTCCTAGATCTCCTTTTTAACTTGAGGACAATTTTTTAACCACAAAACGCATTCTATTACTTGTATATATAATAAATACTCCAAGGCATTATAAAACTCTTTGACTTGTAATAAAATAATAAAACCTAAAACTATATGAGCATTTAATATGGCCAGGCATTATGCCTAATTACCTTGGGTGTGTTATTTCTCAACAACCATATGAAGTGGAAATATTACTATCATTAGTTTCCATAATGCAGAAATTTAGGTTTAGAGCTCAGTAATTCAGCCAAAATCATACAATAAGTGGGAGAGTTAATGTTTGAATCCAAACATCTCTCTAGATTCCACGCCTCTGTCTTGCTATGTTATCTAGCAATAAAGTACATAACAAAAGGCTGCTGTGACCTCAGTAATGCCTTTATATGACTATTTTTTTACTCGGTAATGCTTTTAAATAAATTTTGGTCTTTAGTTGTGACTTGAAACATCCTGATACATGTATGGATGAAGCAGAATTATTCCATCTTCAATCCATTCTCAGTTCTGCCTAGATTTGAGACCCCTTCTTGATCCCCAACCCACCCAAAAGTCTCACCAATAAATTAAGAACCACTGCTTGGGCTTCCTTGCTGGCGCAGTGGTTGAGAGTCCGCCTGCCGATGCAGGGGACACGGGTTCATGCCCCGGTCCGGGAAGATCCCAC